TATATATATAATGGAATCAAAACCATTTGCCCAAAATCAAACCCCAAATCACCCTTCATTCATACCGCATTCGTCACCAAACATAATAGTAGCACACAATCACTCCTATACATATCCTTTACACACACAAAAAAACCCCTAACCCAATAGAACACTACATTTTATAACACAACTATTTCATATTGTACAAAGCGTACACCACGTGTATCAAACACGGAATGGGACTGAATGTTCACTGATGATAAGTTCAATCATATAGTTGTAGCTCTTCTCACATAGCAAGGTCATGACAACCTCAGTCTCTCACGGTCAGCCATCCTGACGATGTTTTCGCTGGTCAGTCACATGAGGAGGCAACACACAGACGCCACCTTTTACAGGTCGAGGCCATCATACTGATCTGCCTCTTACACACAAGGCGAGGTTACCACACAGATACTGCCTTTTATACGGTCCGGCACAGGTCCCGGGCACTATACAAATATCAAAACAACATTTGATATACTTATCATTCAATGTACACCGAGTTTTACAAACTCAGAATGATAACAATCATTCAACGTACTAAGAGCATTAGATACTCAGAATGATATTATACTTAACAGGATGAATATCACAGCATTATATTCCACTTAGAACAACTTTTACGTTATTCAACATACAGGCAAGTGAATATGCTGATAAAACATCTGATTACAACATTGTTTCACAATGTAACTCGTATAACTGACAGCAAAATAATTTACCTGCAACTAAATCGTGAGAATTGACCTTTTGGTATATTTCTTGCTACAACATTTGAGGATTGACAAAATGATAACATAATCATCATGTAACAAATGCCCATATATACATAGCTCCACAATAATAATTACAAAGCAAGATGATAAACATAAATATCCAATAAAACAAATTCTACTCACGCCATGAAATTAGACCAGCCACCTTGCAAATACAGCCATCCTCATCAGATAACTTTCATGACTGCACTCACCAACCCTTGCACCCTGCCTAATATAATCAAACCTCACACCTTGCATGCTTTTCTTGCCACACTAGCCTCTTCATATCACCTTGCATGCTTTCTACCCATTCCCACACCCTGATCTCACCTACTACAGTCCAACCACACTGTAACACGCGTCATACAGTTAAACCAAACTACTATGTGATCTTGACATTACGCCCAATCCTGGATAATTGCTATAAAACAATTATTATTATACTCAAGATCCCATACAAGTTTTGACACTGGAAAATCCACTTATGGTGGACAACGGCTCAGGAGGTCAGCCCCAACATTCTCCACACCCCTGACTGCCTGGATACAGAATCTGTACGACTGCAAAGCTAAGGCCCACCTCATAACTCGCCCGTTTGCCAACTTAGCCTTTGTCATCCACACCAAAGGCTGGTGATCTGTCTCTAGCAGAAACTCTCTCCCGTACAGAAACCTGCTCAACTTCTGTATACCCCACACGATGGCCAAACACTCCTTCTCGATGGTAGAATAAGCCTTTTCCCGGTCCAACAGCTTCCGACTCACATACATAATAGGAAACTTCTCACCTCCGTGCTCTTGTAGGAGTACTGCTCCAATGCCTACATCAGACGCATCTGTCCTCAGCAAAAATGCCTTGTCTAAATCTGGTAACTTCAAGATTGGCGAACTCGCCATAAGACCCTTCAGAGTTTGGAACGCCTGTTCCTGACTATCAGTCCAGACAACACTATTTGGCTTACCTTTTTTAGTCAGATCTGTCAGAGGAGCCGCAATGGCCGCAAAGTTTGGAATGAACCGCCTATAATAGCCAGTTAAACCAATCATTGACCTCACCTGTCTCTTTGTTGTTGGTCTTGACAACTCCAAGATCGAGGTCAACTTCTTACTGTCAGGTGTAATATTACCTTGGCCAACAACATGTCCTAAAAACGGTATGGTATGGTATCCAATCATCACCTTTGATGGTCTAGCTGTAATGTTGAACTGACGTAAACGACTGAAAACAGCACGTAGACTTACCATGTGTTCAGTCCACCCCACAGTTCCTTCCAGCACATCATCAATGTAACTATCCACATATTCTACCCCTCTAAGCACCTTCCTCATCAGTCTAGTAAAAACTGCAGATGCATTGACAACACCAAACGGCATAACTGTCCACTGATATAGCCCATCTGGAGTTACAAATGCTGTATATGCCTTACTCTCCTCCTCCATAGGAATCTGCCAGTAAGCTTTACTGATATCAAACTTGGATAAGTACCTGCACTTACTAAGCCTTGCAAACAAACTTTCCGCCAAAGTGACTGGTTCTGAATCAAAGACCGTAATCCGATTTATCCGGCGATAATCTGCACAAAATCTATAAGATCCATCAGGCTTCTTCACTAACACTATCGGTGAAGCATAAGGAGAATTAGAAGGCTCAATAACCCCTAAGTCCAACATGGATTGCACCTCCGCTGCAACTGTCTCTCTCATATGATGAGGTAATGGATAAGGACGTGACCTAACAGGCTCTGATGCAGTCAACTTGACCTTGTATTCCATGCAGTTAGTCCTCCCTGGCAAATCTGTCAAAACATCTGAAAACTCTGCCAACAACTCCCTAACTTCCGCCTTCTGTGTATCTGACAAATCTGGAGAAATATTTACATCTAGGTAAGTTTCCTTAGCCTTCAAACTCGGAGAAACAATCTGAGGGAGCTCACCTTCTGCATCCATCTCCTCAACTCCACCCCCAACATCAACCAGGCCTGTGCAAACATACTGTGGTAGACTGACACTCACATCACAGACAGCAGTACTACAAGTAGATTCCCTGTCAACATACTTCTTGAGCAAATTAGCGTGATAAGTCTTCAACTTATCCCCAACTCTGACCCGGTAATTACCAACACCAAAACTCTCCTCTATGACAAAAGGCCCTCTCCACTGAAGCAACAGCTTGTTATGATTGGTGGGTAACAAGACTAACGCCTTATCACCTGGTTTCATGTGTCGAACCTTAGCCTTGAGATTAAAATGCTTTCTGTACCTGATTGACGCCTTAGCCAACGACTGATGTGCTACCTCTATGGTATCCTCTAACCTGTTCTGCAAGTCTAGCACATACTGATATGTTGTCCTAGTGTCCTGATCTGGAATATCCTTTGTCCACAACTCTCTTAACACCTGAACTGGACCTCTCACTTTCCTGCCATACAACAGTTCAAATGGAGCGAAACCTAGACTTTCCTGAGGTACTTCCCGGTAAGCAAAAAGTAAGGCTGGTAGATAACGATCCCAATCAGTAGGCTTCTCCGCACTTAACCGTTTTAACATAAGCTTCAGTGTACCATTGAACCTCTCAACTAACCCGTTACACATTGGATGGTATGGTGTAGTGGTTAACTGCTTCAGCGACAACAACCTACTGACCTCCTTCATGACTGCTGACGTAAACTGAGAACCCATATCAGACAACATCTCCTTTGGAACACCAACCCGACTGAATATCTCCAACAAAGCCTCCGCGACATACTCCGTCTCTATCCTCGGTAGAGCTACCGCCTCAGGATATCTAGTCGCATAATCTACTACTGTGAGAATGTACCTATTGCCTCTATCAGTCACCGGATACAAAGGACCTATTAAATCCACAGCTATTCTCTCGAAAGGAGTAGAGATCAATGGCATCTGTCCTAGAGGAACCCTACCAACTTTCCCCTTTTGGAATCGTACGCTGACAAACATCACAAGACAAACAATGCCTCCTAACATCACCTTGAATACCAGGCCAATAAAATTGTGAAGTGGCCCTATCTAAAGTTTTCTTGACACCCATATGACCTCCCATCAAAGATTCATGGCATACCTTCATGACCTCTGACCTCAACTCGGTAGGAACAACAGCCTGGACAACAGCTACACCATCACTTCCCACATATTCCCGGTACAACATATCATCCTCACTGTAGTACCTGGACACACCCTTAGCCGTCGTCTTCTGCTTACCCTCCTGAACCAACTTCCTGACCTTATCTAACTGAGGATCACACTTCTGTTTCTCAATAAACTCTAGCCTATTGAGCGAAACTCCAACTGACTCAAATGCCTTCATCGGCTTCATACCCTCCTCTCTGACTTTCTTCTGCCTTCTAGTCTCTACAGCTGCAACAGAATCAACGACCTCACTAAGACCACTCTCCTCAACTGGATATGGATCTTCAGGAGCCCTCGCACCAGGAATATTCCCTAACATAACATCAAACAAGGGAGTCTCCAAACAAGCTGCTTTAACTGTGCCTTTATAAAAAGGTGAATCTATACCAACCCATGCTACTGGTACAGTGATAACCCTTCCATCACCCAAAGTACAGTTATGAAGCTCTCCATCAACAAAACAATCCTCATCCACCAAAGACCTCTTGACTATAACACCATTGCACCCAGAGTCACGCAAAACATTCACTGGACGCCCGCACAACTTGCCTACACGTACTGGCATAGTGCCACACATACCACACATTGTACCTGACGTCACTACAGATTCATCCTCACCTGGACCAACTGTAACACCATCACTGTTTCCCACCCCATCCTGGGAAACTAACTCGCCACCTTCTACAACTGACTGCTCGAACATGTCAGAAACACTCTCAATGACAACACTAGCCGCCCCAGTGTTCCCTTTAGGCCTAGCCTTGCCCTTAGTACATGACGCAGACATGTGACCAAACTCTCCACAACTATAACACTTCCGCTCATGCAAGGGTATAAACACCTTAGGATCCCTCTTCTCCCCGTGCAGTGGCCTCTTATCCTGAACATCTGAGCCCTTCTTATGCTTATCACTACCCCGAGTGAAAGGATTAACAAATCTAGTAGTAACACCGTCCCGAGCCTCAACAAAATGCTCAGCCAAACTAGCCATCTCCGCTACAGACTTAGGCTTCCTCTCCTCAAAAGATACAAAGGCCTGGACTGACACCAAGTAAAAGCTGTTCACGCAACATCAAATCACGAACACCCTCAAAGTCTTGGCACTACCACTAAGATCAACCCATCTATCAAAGTAATTCTTGATCCTGACCATAAATTGAGTAAAAGTCTCACCCGTCTCTGTTCTGGCAGACCTGAACTTCTGATGGAACCCCTCTTCAGTCATCTCGTAACGCTTTAGTAACGCTTGTTTCACCACCTGGTAATCTTCAACTTCATCTGGATCAAGACGAGAGTAAACCTCAAGTGCCTTACCTTTCAACAAAGTGCTAAGATACGTCGCCCACTGCGTCTCTGGCCATGACTGTGCCTTAGCTATACGTTCAAACCTTTGTAAGTAGGCATCGATGTTATCTCTATGGTCCTCAAATGGCGGCATCTTGGGCATCTTAGGTACCCCTGGTGACTTCTCTTCTTCCTGCTTTAAACCCTTACCAAGTTTAGTCTTCTCTGCCTCCAATTGTAACCTATCCCTCTCTATACTTATCTTCAACTTCTCTAACTCCAGATTCCTTTCCTTCTCTCTATCCTCCTTCTCTAACCTAAGCCTCTCAATCTCCAACTTTTTCATCTCACGTACTCTTTCCCGTTCATCCCTTTCTAACCTATCTCTTTCCCTAGCCCTCTCTATCTCTACCTGCTCCCTAACAAACTGCTGTAAGTTCTCCCCAGTATAACCCAACTCTTTCCCCAGAGCACAAAGAGCCGCTAAGTCCATGATAAAGAAAACTAAGGCTACGGTATCTACAAGTAGAAATGTACAATCTATCAAAGGGTAGTTGTAACAAAGGGACTCGTTCACCTCAGCACATCTGCAGACCCAGCACCAGACAATAAAGGAACGCGAGAGATCGCTAAGAGCAACCAACAAAAGCCACTACACTATATCTAAACTAAGGGAATTTGGAAAATTAAAACCAAACAACCCTACAAATCATCTCATATGTGACTATAAGAATTGAGATCCCACCGCTGCCACCAAAATGTCACAATACGAGATGAATAATGCAAAGGCAGAAATGTAATAAATGAAATTTATTACAAAAATTATATATATAATGGAATCAAAACCATTTGCCCAAAATCAAACCCCAAATCACCCTTCATTCATACCGCATTCGTCACCAAACATAATAGTAGCACACAATCACTCCTATACATATCCTTTACACACACAAAAAAAACCCTAACCCAATAGAACACTACATTTTATAACACAACTATTTCATATTGTACAAAGCGTACACCACGTGTATCAAACACGGAATGGGACTGAATGTTCACTGATGATAAGTTCAATCATATAGTTGTAGCTCTTCTCACATAGCAAGGTCATGACAACCTCAGTCTCTCACGGTCAGCCATCCTGACGATGTTTTCGCTGGTCAGTCACATGAGGAGGCAACACACAGACGCCACCTTTTACAGGTCGAGGCCATCATACTGATCTGCCTCTTACACACAAGGCGAGGTTACCACACAGATACTGCCTTTTATACGGTCCGGCACAGGTCCCGGGCACTATACAAATATCAAAACAACATTTGATATACTTATCATTCAATGTACACCGAGTTTTACAAACTCAGAATGATAACAATCATTCAACGTACTAAGAGCATTAGATACTCAGAATGATATTATACTTAACAGGATGAATATCACAGCATTATATTCCACTTAGAACAACTTTTACGTTATTCAACATACAGGCAAGTGAATATGCTGATAAAACATCTGATTACAACATTGTTTCACAATGTAACTCGTATAACTGACAGCAAAATAATTTACCTGCAACTAAATCGTGAGAATTGACCTTTTGGTATATTTCTTGCTACAACATTTGAGGATTGACAAAATGATAACATAATCATCATGTAACAAATGCCCATATATACATAGCTCCACAATAATAATTACAAAGCAAGATGATAAACATAAATATCCAATAAAACAAATTCTACTCACGCCATGAAATTAGACCAGCCACCTTGCAAATACAGCCATCCTCATCAGATAACTTTCATGACTGCACTCACCAACCCTTGCACCCTGCCTAATATAATCAAACCTCACACCTTGCATGCTTTTCTTGCCACACTAGCCTCTTCATATCACCTTGCATGCTTTCTACCCATTCCCACACCCTGATCTCACCTACTACAGTCCAACCACACTGTAACACGCGTCATACAGTTAAACCAAACTACTATGTGATCTTGACATTACGCCCAATCCTGGATAATTGCTATAAAACAATTATTATTATACTCAAGATCCCATACAAGTTTTGACACTGGAAAATCCACTTATGGTGGACAACGGCTCAGGAGGTCAGCCCCAACATTCTCCACACCCCTGACTGCCTGGATACAGAATCTGTACGACTGCAAAGCTAAGGCCCACCTCATAACTCGCCCGTTTGCCAACTTAGCCTTTGTCATCCACACCAAAGGCTGGTGATCTGTCTCTAGCAGAAACTCTCTCCCGTACAGAAACCTGCTCAACTTCTGTATACCCCACACGATGGCCAAACACTCCTTCTCGATGGTAGAATAAGCCTTTTCCCGGTCCAACAGCTTCCGACTCACATACATAATAGGAAACTTCTCACCTCCGTGCTCTTGTAGGAGTACCGCTCCAATGCCTACATCAGACGCATCTGTCCTCAGCAAAAATGCCTTGTCTAAATCTGGTAACTTCAAGATTGGCGAACTCGCCATAAGACCCTTCAGAGTTTGGAACGCCTGTTCCTGACTATCAGTCCAGACAACACTATTTGGCTTACCTTTTTTTTAGTCAGATCTGTCAGAGGAGCCGCAATGGCCGCAAAGTTTGGAATGAACCGCCTATAATAGCCAGTTAAACCAATCATTGACCTCACCTGTCTCTTTGTTGTTGGTCTTGACAACTCCAAGATCGAGGTCAACTTCTTACTGTCAGGTGTAATATTACCTTGGCCAACAACATGTCCTAAAAACGGTATGGTATGGTATCCAATCATCACCTTTGATGGTCTAGCTGTAATGTTGAACTGACGTAAACGACTGAAAACAGCACGTAGACTTACCATGTGTTCAGTCCACCCCACAGTTCCTTCCAGCACATCATCAATGTAACTATCCACATATTCTACCCCTCTAAGCACCTTCCTCATCAGTCTAGTAAAAAACTGCAGATGCATTGACAACACCAAACGGCATAACTGTCCACTGATATAGCCCATCTGGAGTTACAAATGCTGTATATGCCTTACTCTCCTCCTCCATAGGAATCTGCCAGTAAGCTTTACTGATATCAAACTTGGATAAGTACCTGCACTTACTAAGCCTTGCAAACAAACTTTCCGCCAAAGTGACTGGTTCTGAATCAAAGACCGTAATCCGATTTATCCGGCGATAATCTGCACAAAATCTATAAGATCCATCAGGCTTCTTCACTAACACTATCGGTGAAGCATAAGGAGAATTAGAAGGCTCAATAACCCCTAAGTCCAACATGGATTGCACCTCCGCTGCAACTGTCTCTCTCATATGATGAGGTAATGGATAAGGACGTGACCTAACAGGCTCTGATGCAGTCAACTTGACCTTGTATTCCATACAGTTAGTCCTCCTGGCAAATCTGTCAAAACATCTGAAAACTCTGCCAACAACTCCCTAACTTCCACCTTCTGTGTATCTGACAAATCTGGAGAAATATTTACATCTAGGTAAGTTTCCTTAGCCTTCAAACTCGGAGAAACAATCTGAGGGAGCTCACCTTCTGCATCCATCTCCTCAACTCCACCCCCAACATCAACCAGGCCTGTACAAACATACTGTGGTAGACTGACACTCACATCACAGACAGCAGTACTACAAGTAGATTCCCTGTCAACATACTTCTTGAGCAATTAGCGTGATAAGTCTTCAACTTATCCCCAACTCTGACCCGGTAATTACCAACACCAAAACTCTCCTCTATGACAAAAGGCCCTCTCCACTGAAGCAACAGCTTGTTATGATTGGTGGGTAACAAGACTAACGCCTTATCACCTGGTTTCATGTGTCGAACCTTAGCCTTGAGATTAAAATGCTTTCTGTACCTGATTGACGCCTTAGCCAACGACTGATGTGCTACCTCTATGGTATCCTCTAACCTGTTCTGCAAGTCTAGCACATACTGATATGTTGTCCTAGTGTCCTGATCTGGAATATCCTTTGTCCACAACTCTCTTAACACCTGAACTGGACCTCTCACTTTCCTGCCATACAACAGTTCAAATGGAGCGAAACCTAGACTTTCCTGAGGTACTTCCCGGTAAGCAAAAAGTAAGGCTGGTAGATAACGATCCCAATCAGTAGGCTTCTCCGCACTTAACCGTTTTAACATAAGCTTCAGTGTACCATTGAACCTCTCAACTAACCCGTTACACATTGGATGGTATGGTGTAGTGGTTAACTGCTTCAGCGACAACAACCTACTGACCTCCTTCATGACTGCTGACGTAAACTGAGAACCCATATCAGACAACATCTCCTTTGGAACACCAACCCGACTGAATATCTCCAACAAAGCCTCCGCGACATACTCCGTCTCTATCCTCGGTAGAGCTACCGCCTCAGGATATCTAGTCGCATAATCTACTACTGTGAGAATGTACCTATTGCCTCTATCAGTCACCGGATACAAAGGACCTATTAAATCCACAGCTATTCTCTCGAAAGGAGTAGAGATCAATGGCATCTGTCCTAGAGGAACCCTACCAACTTTCCCCTTTGGAATCGTACGCTGACAATCATCACAAGACAAACAATGCCTCCTAACATCACCTTGAATACCAGGCCAATAAAATTGTGAAGTGGCCCTATCTAAAGTTTTCTTGACACTCATATGACCTCCCATCAAAGATTCATGGCATACCTTCATGACCTCTGACCTCAACTCGGTAGGAACAACAGCCTGGACAACAGCTACACCATCACTTCCAACATATTCCCGGTACAACATATCATCCTCACTGTAGTACCTGGACACACCCTTAGCCGTCGTCATCTGCTTACCCTCCTGAACCAACTTCCTGACCTTATCTAACTGAGGATCACACTTCTGTTTCTCAATAAACTCTAGCCTATTGAGCGAAACTCCAACTGACTCAAATGCCTTCATCGGCTTCATACCCTCCTCTCTGACTTTCTTCTGCCTTCTAGTCTCTACAGCTGCAACAGAATCAACGACCTCACTAAGACCACTCTCCTCAACTGGATATGGATCTTCAGGAGCCCTCACACCAGGAATATTCCCTAACATAACATCAAACAAGGGAGTCTCCAAACAAGCTGCTTTAACTGTGCCTTTATAAAAAGGTGAATCTATACCAACCCATGCTACTGGTACAGTGATAACCCTACCATCACCCAAAGTACAGTTATGAAGCTCTCCATCAACAAAACAATCCTCATCCACCAAAGACCTCTTGACTATAACACCATTGCACCCAGAGTCACGCAAAACATTCACTGGACGCCCGCACAACTTGCCTACACGTACTGGCATAGTGCCACACATACCACACATTGTACCTGACGTCACTACAGATTCATCCTCACCTGGACCAACTGTAACACCATCACTGTTTCCCACCCCATCCTGGGAAACTAACTCGCCACCTTCTACAACTGACTGCTCGAACATGTCAGAAACACTCTCAATGACAACACTAGCCGCCCCAGTGTTCCTTTTAGGCCTAGCCTTGCCCTTAGTACATGACGCAGACATGTGACCAAACTCTCCACAACTATAACACTTCCGCTCATGCAAGGGTATAAACACCTTAGGATCCCTCTTCTCCCCGTGCAGTGGCCTCTTATCCTGAACATCTGAGCCCTTCTTATGCTTATCACTACCCCGAGTGAAAGGATTAACAAATCTAGTAGTAACACCGTCCCGAGCCTCAACAAAATGCTCAGCCAAACTAGCCATCTCCGCTACAGACTTAGGCTTCCTCTCCCTCAAAAAGATACAAAGGCCTGGACTGACCCCAAGTAAAAGCTGTTCACGCAACATCAAATCACGAACACCCTCAAAAGTCTTGGCACTACCACTAAGATCAACCCATCTATCAAAGTAATTCTTGATCCTGACCATAAATTGAGTAAAAGTCTCACCCGTCTCTGTTCTGGCAGACCTGAACTTCTGATGGAACCCCTCTTCAGTCATCTCGTAACGCTTTAGTAACGCTTGTTTCACCACCTGGTAATCTTCAACTTCATCTGGATCAAGACGAGAGTAAACCTCAAGTGCCTTACCTTTCAACAAAGTGCTAAGATACGTCGCCCACTGCGTCTCTGGCCATGACTGTGCCTTAGCTATACGTTCAAACCTTTGTAAGTAGGCATCGATGTTATCTCTATGGTCCTCAAATGGCGGCATCTTGGGCATCTTAGGTACCCCTGGTGACTTCTCTTCTTCCTGCTTTAAACCCTTACCAAGTTTAGTCTTCTCTGCCTCCAATTGTAACCTATCCCTCTCTATACTTATCTTCAACTTCTCTAACTCCAGATTCCTTTCCTTCTCTCTATCCTCCTTCTCTAACCTAAGCCTCTCAATCTCCAACTTTTTCATCTCACGTACTCTTTCCCGTTCATCCCTTTCTAACCTATCTCTTTCCCTAGCCCTCTCTATCTCTACCTGCTCCCTAACAAACTGCTGTAAGTTCTCCCCAGTATAACCCAACTCTTTCCCCAGAGCACAAAGAGCCGCTAAGTCCATGATAAAGAAAACTAAGGCTACGGTATCTATCAAAGGGTAGTTGTAACAAAGGGACTCGTTCACCTCAGCACATCTGCAGACCCAGCACCAGACAATAAAGGAACGCGAGAGATCGCTAAGAGCAACCAACAAAAGCCACTACACTATATCTAAACTAAGGGAATTTGGAAAATTAAAACCAAACAACCCTACAAATCATCTCATATGTGACTATAAGAATTGAGATCCCACCGCTGCCACCAAAATGTCACAATACGAGATGAATAATGCAAAGGCAGAAATGTAATAAATGAAATTTATTACAAAAATTATATATATAATGGAATCAAAACCATTTGCCCAAAATAAAACCCCAAATCACCCTTCATTCATACCGCA